ATGCTTCTCCCGGCCACATGTCGTCCCATACACACGTCGTACGCGACCGCGCCTTTGTTTACTATCCGCGCTCGCGAAGCCGTAAAGCTTAAGGTAAAAAGCGTGTCAAATAATCAGAGAAAAGGGAGAGGGAGAGAGAGAGAGAGAGAGAGACGGAGAACAACGGTGCGTGGCTTTGTGTCAACGACACTCTATCTCTCTTCGGGGATCTTTTCGCGTTTCAAGTTCGACGAACGGAGCTGGCCGAAGGTCTGGCGGTGTCGATCTTCATCTTTACTCGCGGGAACCGCCCCGTTTTGATTGTTACGGCCGGGACGATTATTACCGATGACACGCCACGTCCGCGCGCGAAGTACCGCGAATTTCCGCTAAAAAAGGAGAAAACCGACGCTTTTTCTGCGATATTAGGTCGACGTGGAGTCGACGAACTATTGATTCGCCGGCCGGCCAACCGTGCTTCTCACTCACTTACTCACTCACTCACTCACTCTCTCTCTCTCTCTCTTTCTCTTTCTCGCTCACGCCACGTCGCAGTGCCGTACACGATTTTCCCTAGGCGGAATCGCGTTTCCGTTTTCCGTTACGTTATTAAGGCGGTCACCGGGCCGTATCGCGTGCGAATTTCCGATAAACTGTTGGTTTTTTTCTCCTTCTCCCCTCCGCCCCTCCTCCCAATACCTTTCTCTCTCCCTCGAAGCAGACAGTTCGCTAATTGGCGGATTCAAGTAGAGAACGGTGTATCGCGACGACATGAAAATTCTTCGCCGCGATAACGCGCCGCGAAATTGCGACTCGAAATAAAACATCGCGGAGCGATGTTTCGCGAGTCGCAAAGACGAGCGTTAAATCGATGTCGTTGATTGTCGGACGATCGCGTCACCTCGTCTCGGTGTGTTTTACTTCCGCAGCCGGTAAGCTCTATTCGATCTAGAGCGATTTCTCGCTTCTCTGAACGGACCGGACATTTTTCCGCGCAAATTTCCTCGATTCTCCGGTTGTTTCGGCTCTTGCGATCCGGATGCACGTCCGACGGAACTGGCTGGTAAATCGCAAGGTTGATAAACCCGCCGTGCAATCGCTAAATACAGTTAGTGCTCGGGGGATAACACGCGTCAGGATCTAACGGGACGGCGATTGTTCCGTTTCGCAGAATCTGTGAGAAGGAGAGCGGGAGTGAGTTACCATTTTTCCGTTTTCAATCGGCGCTAAGTGGCACGTGCTAATTAGACGCTCGGAAATGCTGCCGAGACCGCGAGCGGCCCGTCGGCGTCTCGGCTCTCTCTAACTTCCCCGACACCGGCGGATGCAGATTTTCACGCAGCGCAATCCACACGAGGGTACCTCATCTCCATCGCCGAGTTACGCGAATTCGAATCTTCCGAAATCGGTCGAAGCCACTCGACGCGGTCGAATTCCCTCGGCACGAGTGAAAAATCGCCCGAGGAAATTTCAAGAACGACCGACGCGAGATCTCAACCGGATCTCACCGTTTCTCTCTCTCTCTCTCTGTCTCTCTTTGTCGGAAGTCGCGAGCGGGAAGAAGAGCTTCTCGCGGGGGAAACACCCGCAATCGTGGCGCCGTCTCATCCGCGAAATGGACTATCGCCATGTGCGCCAAGAGAGAAAGACGGGAGAGGGGGGAGGAGAGACACATTCCGATCAATAAGGCGGTAACCTTGCGACACCCCGGGCTCGTGAGAGCATTACTTTCGTTTTTCGCGTCGCGGCCGATCCACTGGCGTGTGGCGTTGCGCCACATTTCGCTAGGTGCATCGGTGCCGCCGCCGCACAATAGCCGCTTCAGAACGGGTCCTCTAATAATAGCGCGTCGATACACGGACGTGACTTAATGATGAGTCCTTCCCCGCCGCCACATGTACCGGCGTAAGTCATGGAAAAACGCACGCGAGGTGTACGCAGTTTCCGCGAGGGTCGGCCTACATTTCGCGCAAATCGGTGTCCGCGTCGCGGCACTTACGCGAAGCCACGACGTACCTAAGCATTACTTGGCTCTGATTCTTTTTTTTTTCTTTCTCTCCTTCCCCCCCCCTCTCTCTCTCTCTTTATCTGGCCATATCGACGCGTGCATCTCTTATGAGCGCGATCTATATCCTGCGCCAAACATCGCGCGTTTCTGCGGTACAATAATAGCGAGCCAAGGCTCGCCGTAGGCGTCGTTCAATCGCGCTGCATCATTCACGAGAGGCAAAACAAGATGTAAATATCTGAGGCTCTCTCGTGCGCGTGTATTCTCGCATTTTCACGACTCGATTTTCTTTCCGGTTTGATAGAGATTTGCACGGTCGCGCGAGAGCGTCCAAGTGCGACGGACGAAACGCGTCGCGTCGCGCGTCGCCGGGCCGGAGAGAGAGAGAGAGAGAGAGAGAGAGAACCGGTTGTGCGCGCGAATTAGCCGCAGCTCTTCTCGCCGTGTTGATCGAATGAGTGCGCGGCTGATAATTTCACGTCTCATCAGATATTTATGAAGCTTACATTGATACACCGATCGGAGTAATGGCGCGGCGAGAGGGAGAAAAGAGCGCCTCTCGAGGATCCCTCGAAATGCACGGCATTCACGATCCGTCACGATTTCCTCAAGTACCGAGATAAGAAAGAGAAAAGAAGCAGAAGAAGAGTAGAAATCAAAGAGACCAAATTTCTCCTCGGACGAATTTCTCCACGAGCGGTCGCGTTGCCGCGCCTTCGATCGCTTATCGCGCGTATCGCTCGCATTATCTGCGCGCGGATTAAAAAATCGCCGAGCGCTGCACGCTCGCGTCGAGGACAAAAAACGATCGCGGACGGCCGACGCGCGGCGCGCGCTTCGTCGTCGACCGATTCGGAGATCGCGTGCGATTCGCGCGCGGCGATCGATCGCGACTGAAACGCGCGGCGAGGGAGAATAAAGTAGAGTCTGCTTGGTCGAGTGGCAGCCGCGATTAATTTCGAGCGCGGGCTTACGCTCCGCTTAGACCGGCCTAAGTACGCACACACGTACCTACGCGAACCTACGTGACGATAACCTCAATAAGATAAACGCAGCTCCGCGAGAGTTCCCGTCGTGCGAGCCCACGTCGATGAAGCACCGATCGGCTCTCTCGGCGATTGAAATGAAAATCAGCCGTTCCGGCCCCGCCGGTACGTTATCATTCGCCAAGTGCTTCATCACTTCATCAGTCTCCGATCGTTCCGCCAATCTACGAATCTGTGATCGATCGTGCGATCTCTCTCGACGAGAGGCCGATGAGGCGTTTGCGCGGCCGCGCTTCGAGCCGCAAATAGAAGCGCAGCGTAAAACGTAAAAACGCCGACGGATTTATCGCCGCCGCGTTTTATCAGCGCGAGTTACGCAATACGCGCGACGTCTCGGCATTGCAAGCCGAAGCAGTGCGGACTTATCGATACGTGAGCCGCGATCGATCCGCAGGATACGCAAGGGACGTGCTGATAGCGCTCCTTATCACGCGAGGTGTTTACTCGCCATGCCGGCCGGATGAACTGCGACCTCGCTCGCGAATGTCACGAATTTTGGCGCGGGTCTTGTTGTGTCGACGTCACAGGCTAACGTTGCATAATGATAACCTTTTGTTTGCTCCCTCTCCTCTCCTCTCTCTCTCTCTCTTTCTCTTACCCTTCAAATCTTCGTATTTGCCCGCGAGTGTTATTATCATTTTCTGCTTGCGTCGCGACAGTAAATTTAGATTGACTGAACTGAGAGAGAGAGAGAGAGAGAGAGAGAGAGAGAGAGAGAGAGAAACTCTGAGAGAGTTCAAAAGTCGAGCTAACGAACGGTTGCAAGTTGTGCGGAATTCAGAGGTCTCTGCAGAAATTGATAGAAACAAAATGCTTCGCTCGAGATTGACACATTTCGCAAATATTAATCTGAATCGAGAGACTCGACTTGAGAGAAGTCGAGTTTACGAACGGCTGCAAGTTGTGCGGAATTCAGAGGTCTCTGCAGAAATTGATAGAAACAAAATGCTTCGCTCGAGATTGACACATTTCGCGAATATTAATTTGAGAAGCCAACGGAGAGGAGGGAAAATCGGACTAAAAACCGGACAGCTCCGAGACGTTAGACGCAGTCAGTGCAACAAGTTCTGCGGCGAATCGATGACCCCACTAACGCGACGATTGTGCATTCAGCCCAACAATTGATGTCTGTCCGAGAGATTTACGTCCGCAGGTGATTTTCAACAGAGACTCCTCAGTGAGCGTAATCAAGGATGGCGGCCCTGCGTTCCAAAATCTTTTTGTATTCTGCCGAGCTTCTTACACCCCAGGGAGAAAAGAATCCAGAGATTCCCTGGAATATTTCAGCGCGACGCTAAAGCTGTTTGTCGAGCCTCGCGATAATCCGCGAAGCGGAGGAGCGGAGGATCTCGTTGGAGACCGACGATGGGATTTCGGCGACGAGGGTTGGGATTTCAATCCGCCGACCTCATCAACCCTCCCTCCTCCGCCGCTGCCCAAGGAAGGGAAAATTTATTCGAGCGGCTTTCACCCGTTCCGCAAGATATAACCCTGAAATATCCCGAATAGAAAAAGGCACCTAGCCTAGCGGAAGAGAAGTCGCGAACCCAACGTCGAGAGCGCCTTTAGCGGATCGCGTGCATATTTATCACCTGGCCGGATCTTTTCGTGCGAATGGTCCACCGTCGGGAGAGACAGGTGCGTCCGAGAGCGAGCAGCGAGCAAATGAACGTCACCGCGGCCAGCGGCCGGCGGATCGAAGCCTCACTTCCCGACTCCCCGGCCGGTCCCGTAAAACGCGCGACATGTTGCATGTCCGCAATTTCCGCCGGGCGATTTCGCCGCGACATCGCGCCGGCATCGTCATTCTCCTCGCTCGTCCGCCAGCAGGAGCAGCGTCACGCCACGCGAACGAAAATAGAAACGACGTTTCCTTCTCACCCCTGCGCAAAAACCGAGGGACGGGGCGGGGGTCGCGGCGCGGCAAGGAGCAGCTAACAGGCGCCGCTGTGGGCAGTCGTGCTCACCTGCAGATGAATCGGCACCTTCTTCACCGGAGTGCTCATCTCGCACGTCGCTGCTGCTGCTGCTGCTGCTTCCTTCCGCTCCGACGATAATATGTCCTCCTCTCTCGACGACCCTCGCGCACCGTATATCTCCCCGGGATCCGGGACTGCCGCTCACGCTCGCACAACGATGACGATCGACCACGACGCGACTATCGCTTGTTCTCCGTCCGCGCGCGAATCCCACTGCGTGTTCGCTTTGCGCGCGCTATTCCGCCGACGCTCACCGCTCTTCGCTCTCTCGGCAGCGAGGTGGGGAGGGCAACGAGAGACCGGGAAGAAGCGAGAGCCGGGCGACGTGTGTGTATCCACGCGATCAACCAACTGCAGCGAGCAACTGCTGAACCGACGCGCGCGCGACGTGACGCCCCGCTCCGACGCTCGTTTGTTTCTCCGCCCGACGACGAGGGTGGCTGCTCTGCTGCCCACTACCGGCCTCCCCCGCCCCGACCAATCGCAGCGAGAGTGGTCGGCCAGCGCGGTGCATTCGAAGCGCGTTAACGAGTGCGATGAATTTGCCATCGCGGCGAGCGTCGTGCGGTCGCGATTTTGTCGCGGGTTTGACATATTGCGAGTTCAGTGGTGCGATTCTTTAACTCGTTTATTGGAGTTAACGACACTTTCGTTATTTCGTTGCGCAGCTTTTCTATACCGTAGAAAAGCTGCGCAACGAGATAACGAGAGTGTCGTTTTAACTCCAATAAACGCAGGTACGGTTTCGTCGGTGACGTCGGAGTCGATCGATTCACTCGGCCTGAGGAGAAGCGGCCGGAAGAGACGACGGCGCGATGGGTTATGCCCGCTTTTCAACGGGGAGCACGGAAGCACGTCGAGTGATTGGCTCGTTTGAACGAGACAACCGCGACGTGCTATTGGTTAATTCGAACGCGGCAGGTGGATCGGTGCGGCGTGATTTATTAACATTTTTCCCGCGCGAAGTTATCGTGTTATAATTTTTTGCGTCATGTCGCATTAAGTTAATATGGCTGTTCGTTTGCACATTAGCAAGGATCCGACGTGCCAGCGGGATTCCGAGGTGCATCTGATGCCGTGCAAGATTCATGGCGACGAGTCAGCGAAGGTCTCTTCGTTCTTCAAGCCTTACATGCGTAAAGTGGACGAAGAATGTGAGTACAGCTTGAGTGAAGAAAAGTAGTGTCTCTCCGGTGTCTCGTTAAGAGGAAAACTACGCGGAAGATGTGCTGAAATCTAGAACATTTCACTGTGTTAGGACTGAATAGATGTCTGCAAACGTTCCCTCCAGTACGCGAGTCAAGTCACTGCAGTTCTCCCCTTTTATCTTCTCACTCTCCTTGCTTGATAGGTTAACCGAATGTAATAATAATTATAACGACACGTCAATCAGGAGAGATTGTTACGTTCATAGTTTCAAGTCCCGCTTTGCTTTTGTAGATTATGAATGCTCCTTCCGTGGCTATCCGCTTCAAGGAAAGAAAATAACTGTACCTGCTGGATACAAGGGCATGATATTCATGGAAAACAAAAAGACTGATACTGAAGGCAAGAACCGGAATTTATACCGCACTGGAACCTTCTCACAGTTCACATACTGGAACTACGACAGGATACCATCTAAGAATGATGCACTCTCAGCAGCTTTAGATTGGATTGACATAGCCGATGCCGTAAGTAGCTCTTTAACGAACTTGAACCTTGTCAATCGTCATTAGGATTATTCTGATAAATTTCCTTGATAACTTTCAGTTACATACACCAGAAACATAACTGCGATGCAAGAAGTACAACTACTTGAACTGAATGATCTAAGACATATACATTGTTTTTGATAATATATTTTTATACTTGGAGAGTAAAGAGGAACAGACAATAAAACAGTATATTTCATGTAACAGATTTATTTTTACAGCATCATAATTGGATGAATACGCCACAAATAATGAGCATATAATGTATGCGTAAGAATCTATGGCTGTAATAAGATGTGTAAAGAGATAGCAGTGATATTAAGGATAATCTTATTAGCTGCGACATTTGAAGAAATGTTCCCTATTTAGGTGTACTGTGCGGTCTCGTTCGGTACAACGACAGTGTTGTAAAGGAATGAATTCTGTAGAGTCATTGCTTATTCTGGTTTTTTTTTTTTTCAAAGACAAAAATCTGTCTTGCATGCGATTATCATATTATGTTTTATATGACTTTTATATTTTATATTAATGCGTTTAGTGCCATCGATAGCTTATAATAGTCATTGTAAATTAATGGAAGATGTGTACTTAGTGTATCTGAGCCCTCCATTACGTGTCGTCTTATACACAGTCGTACGACTAGTTGTGCGACTTACAAAAAAATGCACTCTTCTCGAGATGTGCGGTACACGTTCCATTATTTAGGCCAAAGAATCCGATCAATTTGCCACAGCATGTGTATCGAACATGTGCGCGTGGTACATATGTAACCGATTGTTGAACGTATACATTGGAGTAAAAAACATTCTCATTTCCGTAGGTTTACGTAGGATCGTTGGCAGTGAAGGGAAACGGGTATAATCTTCAACGGAGTATGTTCGTTCGCGTTGATACGCTGCAGTATAGGAAAACATAATATTTAAATTATCGTGTGAGTCCCCATATCGCGCAGAACTCTCTCTTTGGCATCGCAATACTGATACATATACGGGATTTTTGTAAAAACCGATATCGAAGAGAAAAGAAAAAAAAAGCAATATCCTATATGAAATTACAAAAGTTGCGCGTTCTTACGTCCTAATAGTAAATCAGCCTCTCTTTCTAACGGAACAATGAATTACAACAGAAAATACTTCGGTCAGTAATGCTTCTCCCGTCTCGAAGATGTCGCTAATAAAATAATTTCTCGTTCTAAAGGACCTATTTACAGTAACATTACAGATTCCTCTAAAGTAGAGCTACTCTAAAAATAGGTCCGCTGCGTATCACTTCGTTTCGTTCGTCCTCACACACACTCTCTCTCTCTCTTTCCTTTTCATGCAAAAGCTCACTAACATTTACTCGCAAAGTCGAGGAAGTAAATGCTCGCCGTTACGGAGGCGTAGTCCCGGTACTTGTTAGTGCACTAAGCTAAACATACATGATCACACATTAGCTTATAATATAATGTTACGTCCGACCAGTATATTATGCTCTCTAAATCGGATGTCCCTCGAATGTTCGTTCCGTTTACGACATGCACGGCTCTAAACGGCGCGATTTTACAGACATCTGCGAAACAATATGAAACTAACGAATAAATAAGTCGCGACTCTTCTTTTTATCTGTTTAACCGTTGCTTCTCTCTTTGTACCCTGATTTCAGACGTGTATATATCCTCGTGTACACACACACACACACACACGCGCGCGCGCGCACACACACACATACACACACACACACACACATACATGCACGAGACGATCGAGTTGAACTAGAAGAACGGCAAGATATGTCCCGTTGTTTTCCCTAAGGTTCGCAAATTCGAAACTAATCTCACCTAATTCGCGGTCGGAAGCTAACGCTTTTTCGTTGGCAGTGGCTGCGAAGTAGCCCGAGACAGAGTTGAAGAGTCTGTGTGAAGTACAAGCGTACCGCGACCGGCAGCCTAAGTGTAGAACACACACGTACACACTAACGTATATATTCGGCATGTTGTCCCTGCTCGTATCGTTCGCGTGTAAAGAAGTCGCCCGGTCGGCCTCCGATTCGCGAATTAAATATGGAATATCAAAAACGTCTCGTAAACGCCATCGCGGATGGGTGTATGGCGATATAAAAAAGAGATAAAATCGACGCAGTCTTACACGTTTCACAAGTAAAACCTATGAAAGATCACAAGTAAATCGTCAAACAATCGTCGCTCGATCGGGCCGGATTCGGACACCGAGTTTCCTCACCAAGTCCCAGGATGTCGCGAGCATGTCCTCGCTCTGGATTTGTACACACTCGGTAAGAATATGACTAAAATGAAGTCTACACGCTACGTCTCGCTCTTCGCCCGTCTCTCTTTATACATGCTGAAACGTGCCCAGCTCGGTGGTCTGCTCCTGGTGGAACTTGTTCTGATCCTGCTGCTGCTTGATGAAAGCGCTGAGCCTGTTGAGCAGGAACTGCTTGTCGTGGCCCTCCAACACCAGCTGGTTCTTCAGCACCGTCACCATGTGCTTGTTCGCGATCAAGGCCGCGTAGTAGTAGTAGAGGAGCAACGCCAGCACGACGAAGGCCGGTATGCCGAATCCGGCAGTGCCCAAGAAGAACAAGGTCGACTGTATCCAGTCGGGAAACCGCGAGAACGTCATGATCAGCAGCATCCATACAGACTCCAGGCCGCGGAACGGCCCGCAGGATTTCGACGGCATGATCTCCGCGATGGAGTACCCGACCGGGATGATCGCCAGTATGAAGGAGACCAAGAGAATGAACATGAAGAGCGAGTTCGACCTGCTCGCGCGATAGATCCTGCTCGACGGTGTGCTGTTGACCAGACACGTAAACTTCTTCACGTAGAACATGAGGAACGTGCCGATCGTGGCGACCATCGGTAAAAGTGGGGCGAAGAAGCAGCCGAGCCAGCAGATGGTCTGCAGGTAGACGACGTCCAACACGTGCTTGGGCAGGTCGAACTCTTGTTCGCCGACGAAGCGCAGCACCTTGTTCTCGGTGTGCCGTGCGATCAACGATCTAGGAAAGTTGACGAAGAACGTCATGAAGAATTGGATGAACAGATCGGTGGTGTAGAGCTTGAAGAACTGTTGCCCGACGAACGTCTCCCAGCACAATGGCTGTTTGTTCTTGCTGTTGGAGCACTCGTGCTCCGGGATCTTGTCAGCGACGAGTCTGTAGAGGGATGTGAGCAGAACGACCAGCGAAGCGAGTCGAAGGAACACCGTTCTGAACAGAGTCACGCGCACGACGTAGGATGGACTGTAGTTCTCCAAGGCGACCAGGTAGCGGAAGAGGAACGGGATCGCCACGTTGAGGCCGACGATGCATATGTACGGCAGGAATTCAAAGAACAGACGGATGATCTTGGAGATTTCGACGTCCTGCGCCAGGTACGCCGCCAAGTGGCTGAATGAGAAGTCGATTATGTAGTAGATGAAGGCGCCGCAGGCACTCAGCACCGTGAGGACCAACAGGTTCACGAATAGGCGTATGAAGAAGAGCTTCGTCTTCTCCTCCCTCGTGCGATTCTTCCTCTCCTCCTCCATTCGTTCAGCCTCCAGGAAGGCCTTCATCTCGTTGTACAGCGCTTTGTGCTTCACCCCCGCGGACTTTTCGTTGTGGATGCAGTAGTCCCAGCCGCCGAACACCAGATTGCAATACTGGTAGAACTGACCTTCGCCCTCTACGACGCGCTCTTTGAAGCCCTTCGCGGCAGATCGCACGATCGCCACCAGGCTGATGATGAAGACGCTGATGATGGCGCAGATGTATGACAACGACGAGTTGTAGCAGCAACTGCCACCCACGCTCTCGTACATCTTGTGCGTGTACGAACCGTAGAACAGCAGAGTGTACTCGAGGATGCCGCCGCCTTGCACGATGTCAGTTATGCTGTTACTCTTGTCGGTCATGTTCTTGTACAGTTCGGAGCAGCACGCTACGCTGGAGGCGGTGTTGTTGAAAAATGAGCACGTGTCGTTGTCCGGCGCTTGCAGTAGGATCGCCGGCTGCACGATCAGCAGGAATATTATCGCGAACAGCAGCAGGTTCAGATACATCAGCCATTTGATGAACAAGAAGTACGCTACTATTCCCATCCCGAAGTTTCCGCCAATCTTCTGCAGACTGTCGTTCCACAGATCTATCTTGGAGTACGCCTCTTTCAGTCTTATGCGGAATTGCTGCCAGGCTTTCCTGCGCTGCCACTTCAGTTGTTCAAAGCCTTGCAATCTCAACTTTGTGGCGCTCTGGAAGATATAAATTTGTGCAAGTGTTCAAGTCAATCTCCATTGAATATATCTGCTGTATTTTTGTACGAGAGACAGATTATAGGTACCTGTAATTGATTCTTCAACTGTATTTTTTGTGACATACGTAAGGGCATAGCTTTGATCTGCATGATCTCCTCCCAGGTGCGTTCTTCGTTGGACAAGTTCTCAGACAGATCCGGTAATGTAGACACTGCTGCATCGTGAATGTTGGTCGACATGCGTCTCGAAGTAGTTGTGCCACGAGATCTGGTACTTGTGCGCCTTCTGAGTGTTGTCTTTGTATCGTTTCGGATTCGTTTGGCTGTAGCTGAGTTAAATATTAAGTGTAAGAAAGAGAACTCATCCCTGGGTAAATAATAATAGTGTTTTATATGTATTCTTTGAACATGTGAGACAAACTTACCGACACGAGACTTCTTGCTAGGAAGTAAAGTAGCTATATGTGAAGGATCCCTCTGCAAAGCTTGCTGGAGATCAGCTTCTACAGCTGCTGGGTAGCTTTCCTGATAGAATTCTGCACCAGCTTCCTCCCATCCTTGTCCCCTGTCGCAGCCCCTCTTTTTCCTTTCTCCTCCCGACATCTTTAATCTTCAAGATTGAGCTCACAAAATAGCTGAATCTACTGATGCAATATTCAATTGCAATCCTCAACTATCTTATCTTAGACAAATGATTCATATGTTTTCATACATCATCCAACTGCAATTGTTTCTCTAATCCTCTGATAACTGATTCCTCACATATCGTCCAAGATAGTCATTATACATTGTTTACAGGAAATGCTGCTTCCTTGAATGCTCACTTTGATGACAATGGCTCATTTTTGTTTTCTTTCATATGCATCCGCCACGTTCCGGATATAATATTACGCTCCTTCTTTCACTCTTATCGCCAATATTCTATTTCCATCGAAGCTTTTAAGAAACATCATGACCTATGTTGTTGTCAAGTCGCATCGTGAAATGTAAATTATCGAACGATAGAGTATTAACTGTGAACAACAAACAACCGCCGTTATCGTTAGTTCCTCTCGGGAGATAAGGCAATTATCGGAATATACATACAAATGTACCCGACGTAGTGAACTGTCAATCGTCGCGATTGTAGCTGGCCGATCATTTGCGCGGAACATCCACATTCACCGATCGATACTGTCAGTGTCAAATAACAATTTATCTTTGGTTGTTGTAGGATTATCACAGGATCTCTGGCAGCTGATTGACGAGACGCAATACTCATAGGTGATTCACACTGACATCCGACATCCGATGTACATACAGACTGTTCACCTGTTCCAAAAATCATCTGGAAGAATTGACGAGGCCATCTCGCTCGTGAGCTTACACGAGTGAGGACCGCAATGCACTTGTACGTACAGGATGCGACACACGTTACGTGTCGTGAAAAGTGACGCGGCGAAGTGAATCTCCTCCAGTTAGAGAATTTTTATCTTCCAGTAGCATCGTCGGGACAAAAGGATATCTCTACGTTTCGTTAATAAACAGAGACAGAGCTTATTCTGTGCCGCCCTGCTGCTGAAAAAAAAAAGTAAAAAGTTTGCTCAGTATGTCGTTGAGTCGTACTACTTGAAAATAAAGATCCCTCTGACCCGCCATTCAGTCGATCCTTTTAAAAATGAAAGAATCCGTCAATCTCTCTGTCGTTAAATTATATTTAAAAATAAAAGGCCATTCCTGGGTCGTGCTACTATAGAAATCAAGACTTGACAGTCCAGTGGTTGACTTATACTACTATCTCGGATTTTCATAGAAGTAGGAACTGAGGTTAGAGTTAGTTCAAAAGTCTTCGCTACGAGTCGGTATGACGATGTGAAGCAGAGAGAAACCTGAAAGCGGCCAATACGACATTTTCCGCGACACCGACTTTCCGTATTGGGAAAGGACGCTATCTGCATCTATTTTGAGAGGGGAACAACGATGGATTCACTTTCATGTCTCGGTGATAAAATCTGCATGTGGTGGAAGTCCGTGCTACATCCATTTATGTCCGTGCTACAACCACAGTTGCCATCTCTATGCCAGACTATGCCCGATGGTCTAAAAAGAGCGGCGGGGAAGAGGGGAGGAGCAGAAAAAATAAAAGTACGTATTAAATGTTAAATCTTCGAATATATGTTGCCGTATCAAAGTCTCCTCTATAATAAACAATTTGACATGTCTGGAGACGCATGATGTATCGTTGTCCGCGTCCTGTTCCCTTCGTCATGTTTCTCAATTCAGCATCCCGTCCGCTCTGGACATTCGCTCGTGGCACTGATAGTGGCCGTCGGTGAGCATTCGATCCACTCGGAAGAGCACGTTAATTAACGCGACGAGACTCCGATTATAAATATAGCGAGTCGACGAAATATTTGAATTTTTTAAAAAAGCATCAAAGAAAATCACGTTGATGTTGTCATGGGTGAAATCTCACCCTGGTATACAGGGTGTCCGGAATATGATCATTAATATTTTGTATACTGGTAGATTGGGTGTAGCCGAGAAGAAAAGTCCATGTACCATAATGTCAAATGGGCAATAGTTATCGAGTTTTTAATTGAAACATGTCAGCCAATGAGCGCGTAGAGAGCGCTGGGCGGCCGCTTCGCTCGCTTCTCGTCACGCGCGCACGCCTCTTGTCGCTTACGGTTGCCTCTCGCCGCGCGAGGTACGCCATCTTCTTATACACAGAGCCCGTCCTGTCGCTTTCTTGTGCGCTCATTCGTTTACACATTTTAATTAATTATGGAATAAATATTGAAAAAATTGTAAAATGGCACAGGACTTTTCAATTGTTTTAACGAGTTCTACCAGTACACAAAATATTAATGATCACATTCCGGACACCCTGTATATTTTTTTATTTTTGAAATAAAAAAACCATACGAATGCAATTAGATGTTATTTATCATCATTGAATATTAGATGAAAAGTAGAAGAGTTATTGTCCGCAGCGGATAATCTCCCTGTATAAAATGTCGAACTGAAATATATTAAAAAGTATTGACATTCTGAATTCTGCTTTCTGATTCGAAAAAGAGACTAAAAAGTATTAATTCCCATTAAGTTTCACTGCGCTAAATGCGAGATGGCAGTAGTGAATGCTTCGCATTAATAAGGATTCAATCCGTTTCAAATATGCCTTGTATTCAATCGCAATCGATAATTTTTAAATGCGAACTTTCGTATTGAAAAATATTCACTTCTTCTCCTAATCGTTTTCGGATTCAGAGGCATACAAGATTTTCACGTTCTATTCCCCGTCGCATTGAAAAGTATTGGCCCGCGATCCAATCTGAAATTCCCGCAAAGCAGAATTCACGACAAAATCTCGTGTATGCGAAACAATACTTTTAAATACGACGATTTTATACAGGACTAACATTTAATAAGAACGAGACTAAATTCGCATGGGATGAAATTCCATTCTTTAACGCTACCATGACCTTTAATTATTCTCCGAAAACGGCGTCACAACAACTTACACTCTGTACAATTAGTTGCTAACACATTTTCTAATCGTACACATTCCTCTTTAATTAACATAAAGCTAACAAATGTCTGATGCTTCGACAGAGTAATTTTCTTTATTTTCAGTAATCAATAAATAGAGTGCATCAATGTCGCGTACAGTTGAAAGGCCTCCTCGCATTCCCCTCGTCGTTCCGAAACCTTCGAGAAAACAAAAGACGCTCAAAGGCAAGTCTCTCTTGCTTCAACCGCCGCCGAGGCCCGCAATGTTTACATCGCGCCGATTGTGTTGATCGGTTCGCGAGCGACGACACTTTTTGCCCTTCGTATTATAATACTCGCGCATCTCATGTATTCGACCTCATTCCATCAGCAGCAGCCGTGCGCGACGCTCTCGTCACTTCCGTCTCGTGTAATTAAAAGAAATATATCTCGTCGGCCCTCGAGATACTCAATCGGCATCGCGTCGGCATCTCATTCATTAACTGCACGGTCGAATCGCGAGTATCAGCATTAGAAGCGTGAGCGAGTGAAATCCGGAGGACTTCAGCAGTCGAGAAGCAGAACGCCGGCAGCGATACGTCACGTTTCCAGGTATGTGGAATCATTTATTACGCGGGAGGTCTCCGATAACGAGAGCGTACGTTTGACGAATTTTCCGGGAATAAGAAGTCGGAATTTCGCGCTCGGCATTCACAATCCGTCATCATCCGACTAGTAATCATCACTTTATGAATTTGCAATTACTCTCGTCAATCTCTGTCTGTCTATCTATTTATTGCGTTGTTGTATACAAAAGATATTGATCCAGACAGAGACGGATAACGGTCCATGGACGTGGATCTCGAATTCATCATGTTCTCAATCAAACATTCTGAATCATTCCCAATTCCTGCGTGAAAATATTGGTCTTGTGTAGAATATTCAACGTCATATCGCTTCTTAGACTGCGACCTTTTTTGTTTTCGGTCAGCGCTTCTTTCAAGTTTGTTTACTCTTGTTACGGAATTTGAATTTAAATGTCCATCCGTAAAAGAATATTTTCGAGAGCACACAACTGTTGTCTCCGCTTCTTATTGTCATTTTCTTTCGTCAGCTCTTTCAAGAGCTCCTATTTAGACATTCAATGTCAATAAAGAAAAAAAATCGTAGCGAATATTCTCCACCCATCCCGACCAACCATTTTTTGTCTACCGCAGCTTACCAACCAAGAACGCTAAATTTTTGTTCCAGACGTTGTGGGAAGCAAGTCCGGCGGACGCGGATGCCGCACCGGAGGATCCGGTTCGGGCAGAGCAGGGTCGGCCGGAAGGTAAAGTTTACAAGTTTTCTACACATCTGTGTTCAACTCTTTACGATCTTTGCCTTTGTAACTTGTTCCTCATTAGCTCTCTTGAAAGCTTCAAGTCCCATTTAAATTTTCAATGTTGGAACAAAAATATAAAGATAAAAATTCCGTATCAAAATATATCCGTATTTTCGATTGGTCCTGATCAAAGATATTCTCTCTCTACCGCAGGTTATCAACCGGGAAATTTATTTTTCTGTTACAGTTGTTGCGGAAAGCAACAGCAATCCGATGGACGCGGATGCCGCACCGGAGGATCTGGTTCGGACGAAGCAGAGTCGGCTTGAAGGTAAGTTTACAAGTTTACTATAGTCCTCTGTTTGACCCTTGGCGATCTAGAGCTGGGATATAATTTCCGGTTCGACTTGAATTACGATCGCAGAGGGTAAACTACTCTTTTACTCGCCCGCACTCGTTGGTCAAATCTGATAAGCAAATATGAATTTTTTGTTACAGAGTTGAAGCGGAACGTGGCCGGCTCTGACTGCAAGTCGTTTCGGTGAGTCAAAATGAAAAGAGAAACAATATTCTGCATGACGGATGTGGGACTAAAAAATATCGTTCGAGTCAATGCGAATTGCAAATAGATACTTGCATGTGTGTATTTGTGACGTTGAATAAAATACATTGCTCGAAACAATCAGGGGATTACTTGATCGATAGCCTGTATTACATACAAGATTTAAAATACTGAATGATTCTCTTTGGATGTTCAGTCATCTGAATAAGAGAATATTCATATGTACAAACGCGACACCGACATCAGCTGCTTTATTTTTATTTTTCAAGCGGGCCGCAGAATTACTTAACGATTTAATTATTTGACAATATTCAATTGTCCGTATAAAATATATTCATAAATAAATACCGATATCGTTAGCTACTTTTCTTTTATTTGCAAAACAGGCTGTAGGATTATTTGGCAATATTGTCCATTCATCACAATCCCTATTGTCTCGAGTAGCGTATAATGCGCGTAGAAATTGCGCCAGCGCATGCCGAGCTTGAGGTATCTTCGCTCGCGTGCCTTTGAATATCGCGACCGCGGTTGTCAATATACGCGTTTTTACTCGCGTTGCTAACAAAGAAAACTTAAATTCTCATTTCGCCAAAGTTTCGCGTACGTAAGCTTCGTCGTGACAGAGCTATAATGCGTGAAAACTTTGCGCCGCTCTTCTCTCTTTGCGCTCCCTAAGGGGGACCGGTTTCCGATTGTCTAATCTTTCCTCGCGTGCATTCGCGTCGCGAATATTTCACTCGTAGATATCGATAATCCCACATTTTCGCGACTTTTCAGACGCAATCGCGAAAAGCACCGTAAAAATCAGTTGGACGAGTCAATAAATTTTCACACGGTTCTTACTCCTCGCCGATCGAGTTTATAGTCCGTTTCGCAGCGCGCAAAAAGTTTCCACCGATGGCGAGTAAAACGTTCGTTAACTGATGTAAATATCGCCGTTCTA